AATAAATTACTATTTGAATTCGTATATACCAAGAGTATCTTGTATCTAATTTTATGCGGTGTACAGTCTCGGAGATATGCGGTGTTTCTTCTTTTCTTGTTATTTGTTTCGCGTCTCGATTCAAAATGTTCAAAAGATAGCTTTTAAGGTGGAATGCAAGTTTCCCCGACTGTATTTCTGATTTGCGGAAGACAAGGTTCGATTACCAGTCTCTTAGATTCAATACCATATTCGGTATGAAAACTTCGGAAGTGCACGTGCAAGTAAAAGTGATCGTAGGGAACGGTCTGATGAAAGCTGTGTGCATTTTATGTCTTCATATGAATTACTGTAGAAATATTGATTACTTGTCTACACTATCTAATCTTACTATCTTACTAATATTTTATAATATTATAATATTTCATAATATTAGTAAGATAATATATAACATAAGTAAGAAGACGCATTTATATGCGAAAGTTTAGATGGATGGATGGATGTTTGTTAGCGTTTGTAGCATAAACCCCTGAACGGATCTCCATGAAATTTGGCACAGATTTAGAGCATAGTCTGGAAGAACACATAGGCAACTTTTTATCCCGGGAATATGGTTCCCGTAGGATTCATTAATTTAGTTTTTTAATATTTACTCGATCATTCTGCAACGGTTCAATATATCTTATTGAAATTTGGCACAGATATAAAACAAAGTCTGAAGTACACATGGGATAAGATTCATCCCCAAGAAATGTCCGGTTCCCGAGGGATATGTAGCATTTTGTTATTTATATAGTTCGTATGATTTCTAATACCACGCGGACGAAGTCGCGGGCAACAGCTAGTGTTACTATAATGGTGGAAAGAGTTGTATTTTTGTATATATTGAAACTCTAAAACTACTGGGCTGATTTTTAAAATTCACCATTAGAAAGATAATTTATCTGAGTAATATAGACTATATTTTTTAATTTAACGTGAACGAAATCGTAAGCAACTACTAATTAACATACCGATTAGATTTTGCCCGAATAAGGGTATATCTGAACCATATATTTTCGTCTAGTTTATAAACCAGCTATCATCAGAAACGTTCTCCTAGAAAGAGATGGATGTATTGCGTGAAAGGTGACACGATCAAGAAGACAGTGATGACTGAAATGACGGATGATAGAGTTATTTGGAGGACGAAAACCCGGTGCGCCACTACGGGAGAAGAATAAGGTAGGGGAGATGATGCAAAGGAACGTTGTTTTTTTTGTAATCAAAATAATTAATTATTTAATCAAATCATATTTATTAAATTAATGAATTAAAGTTACTTACGTATAGTTAAAAATGCTACTTTTACTACCAAAGGCTTCACCATCAAGCGGGCGCTAGTAATAAAAACCATGTTTCGAAATTAAACTCATTGACAATTCCAATTTTTTAATGATAAACTAACAAATAAGTATGTTAGTAATTTGAAGTAGTTTAGTTTATTTTACATTTTTACAAAATCCACGGAGGTAGGCAGGAAGGGCAGCAGCCCCCCCAAGTAGTTTAGTCTATTTTACTCTTTTTTAAATCCAGGGTTGTAGGCAGGGCATCTTAGGAGACTCGCATGAGACAATATTGAAAGTTGTAAACATATTTTGTATTTCGTCCATTATCGTATTGCAGTGTATTATTCAGAATTGATATTACACTTTCTAAAAGATAAGAATGCTCGGATTCGAATCGCTTCAACGTAATGATATAAATTGAAATGTTATTGGCATTTCATAATTACAGTTATTTTATAACAGTAATATATAAATTAATTGTAGAACACTGTTTATGTTTTTATTACATAACTAAGAACTTTTTCATAAGAAAAGTTCCAATGTTTACGTTTTAGTATTACGAGCCGCGCGTAACTAACGTCTGGCACGCCGTTTGCCCCATCAGAAATGTCTGCCTTCTTGCAGGGGGTATTGTTATAGGCCCCTGAGTATAATATATAAAAATCAAGTATTAGAAAATAAAAATAAGATTTAGTCAACTATAAATCGTCTGTCTTCGATAACGGCCCACGGAAATTGTCTTCCAATATATATTTAGTATAATTCTTACAGTGGTCTCCAACACATATGTGAAAATCAGCTTTGTGAAAATAAGTGAACTTAGGTGTGTTTACCAACTTCAGAGCGTGATAGCCCGTAACTGCCCCATTGGACATGATAACTAATGGCCATTCAGTTACATCAAACGAATACTATCTAATCAGATAACAGTAAAGTTTTAGAATACGATTACTAGATTATCCAAAACTGGTGAATTTTGACCACTAGGACTAATTAAAATAACTATATACTTATATAACTTAAACGATTCTTATTTACTTAGACTATTAGTAGTTAATATTCAAACTTAAGTAATCATCTTTCTGTCCTTGTTACACTGTGTGATTTCGCCATTTCTTTTCTTTGTTCTCAGAATCAGAAAGTCCAACAAGGGGGTACGCAGTTCGAATGGGGTTGGCAGCTGACGCCAGTGGACGCACAACTGCCTTTGGACCACTACTTTGTGCAGGTAAATAATTCCACTTAGTTTGTTTTAAACTTTTTTCGTCATTATTTTTTCGTCGTCTATTAATATTGTATATTGACAGTAATTAAAATATAAGGTAGTCAAAGACATTTAAAAAATATATGGAGGAGTGAAGAATTTTTTTTCATATCTACTATATCAGCTGTCAAGTTTAGTGCCATCTCGTTTCCTTATATTGACATGTGGTTTTTAAGGATCTATCAATAGATAGTGTTAGTAAGATTATGTGAAAAATATGCCTCCTCTATATATTTTTTTAATGTTTTTGAAGGTAGTCGAAGAAAGTTACTTTCGCGTTATTACGCGTACGTGCGGATGTTAGTTAGGCAAATAATTACTTGTTAAACCTAACAGAGTTCTATTAGTGAAAACTTTTTATTTTTATAACTGTAGTGTTAATTTATAACCGACTTCTCAAAAGGAGTAAACATACCTTTATGCAAAGAATAAACAATAATATAAATTCGAAGATTTTCAGTTCTTGTATAACTATATGCCTTTAACAATTATTCTAGTATACTACGCGCTTATTTGTAAGGCTCTAAAAGTTCTGTCAAGTTGGTTGAATTTAATTTTCTTTACCAGACTGGTCCTCAAATCCAGTATGCTGATAATATCGGTCTACAGAATACTGGGCCACTGGTAGACGTTGCTGCCCTCAACTACAACACTGGGGTAAGTTTAACGAGACTTCTCTCGTAATAAATTTAGTGTCAGAACTATTAAAACTACTAGCTTTCGCCCGCGACTCCGTCTACGTGGAATTAAAAAAAAAATAAAAAGTGGGTAGCCCATGTGTTCTTCCAGACTATTCTCTACACCTATACCAAATTTCATCGAAATCCGTTCAGCAGTTTAAGTTACAAACTCTAACAAACATCCATCCATTCATCCATCTAAACTTTCACATTTATAATATTAGTATTAGCATGATTTATTTTAATTTACTGCCTTAATAACTAGATAACAACTGCTGGAAATAGGCTTTCCCCGGTTAAGAATGTTAAAGAATTTTTATACTTGTCACGAGTGATAATCGATTCTAATTGTATTCTATCTATTTTCACTCGCAATATAATTAAATAAAAACATTTCTATTTTACATACATTTTTTTTGTTTTAGATACCATACCAAATATATCAATATCCAGAAAATCAAACGCAAACGATCCAAGGAGTCACGAATCAAGCACCATTAGATATATTTCTTCTTCACCAGCAATATCCTGTTCAGAATACACAAACACAACAAAATAACATAGCAGGTGACATCACACAATATACAAATGCACCACATTCATACAACATACAACACACACAAAACAATCCAACTACAAAACAAACGGTAAATCCACTTATAAAAACAACTAATAAAGAAAACGACGATCCAAATAACTCAATAATCACACCTATTGTACAAGTATTTAAAGACCATAATTGCACAAACGAAGACATTGAAGAAATAAAACAATACGAAAAAACGACATACGAAGTTGACGATAATTTCGGAGCAAAAGAAACACCTTTATACAAAGCAGCTGCAGATTTTAAAATCGAAACAAGATCGAATACGAAAAATGAAGGATATTATTATTATTCAACCGAAATAACTCCTACAACTAGAAATTATTACGAAGACCAAGAAGGTATATCAAAACTTGTAGCTTCAACACAAGATCTGATAACTAACGACGATTTGCTAACAATCAATCATTCAGCTGAAAAACAAGTTTTTGATATCGACGATTACATTAAGCCATATAATTTAAAAACTGAAGAATCTCGTAACAATCGAAATAAACATCAAATAACTTTAAAAGCTAAAATACGTAACATTGAAAGAGCAATACCTAATTCTGATACAAATAATAAAATACTTCAAAATAATCATGAAAATAAATTTTCATCTCCAATAATTGTACAAGATTCAAGTTACGATGAATATAAAGAAGGAATATTAGACACTTTAGTATCTACAATGACTCCATTTATTGAAAATGGATACGTTATCTCAAGCATACAAAAAAATGAAAGTAAAAATGCTTATTTACCTCATTATTTTAATGAAGAAACAGTTTATGTGACCCCAAGACCTATTGGACAGAAATACTTAGCTCCGATAACAGTAGCTTTAAGATTATTAAATTCAAATAATACAGATATTTTTAATACGATAGAAGATCCTGACACTTCGGATAGTGAATTTGTTGAAGAAAAAGTAATACCTTCTAAAGAAAGAACTATTGTTGAAATACAAGAATCTATTCCATTAGATATAACGCATATTAACGAAGTCGAGGTTCATCAGTATTTAGAAGATGGAAGAAGTAAATATCTAACAAATGAGGTTAGGAATTTACACAATGCATATAATGATCAACAATTCAAAGGAAATCATGTAAATTATCAAGTCTCAGATGAATATGACAAAAAAAATAATGAAAAAGCCAATGGAAACAGTAATTATGGAAATAAAGTAAAAAATAATGACGGAAATGAAAAAATAGAATCTAGCGAAAATGTAGAAACTCAAGTTACAGTCGAATTCAATAGTTTTAAAGAAAACAAGCATAATAAGGATAACAATAATGACGATGTATTTGGAAAAAGAAACAATCGTAAAGTAATTCAACCAATAATCGTCGAAAAAGAAATACCTGTTCCACAATACATAGATCGGTACATCGAAAAACAAATACCGAATTCCGAACCAAAAGTAAAACACGTACCAATAGACAGACCGGTCGTTATACCGGTACCATACGAGAAAATTGTTGAAAAGCCAGTTGAAGTCACAAAGTATATCGATAAGCCGTACCCTGTTGAAGTTCCACAGCCCTATCCCGTACCAATTAAAGTTCCGTACCCGGTAGAAAAGAAAGTATACGTAGACAGACCGGTACATATTCCATTCCCAATAGAGAAGATAGTCGAGAAAGAAGTTGTAAGAAACGTTCCCGTACCAACTCCTGTCGCCGTACCGGTTAAAGTACAAGTTCCAGTCGAAAAACCAGTAATCGTACCAATACCAGTAGAAAGACCTTATCCAGTACCCGTGGAGAAACCAGTAGAGAAGATTGTTGAAAAACCGGTACATATAAACGTACCAGTACCTATACCAATTCATATCATCAAACATTATCCAGTTGACAGAATCGTCGAGAAAAAAGTACCCTACCCTGTCAAAGTTGAACCAACGATCGTTACTAAATATATCGAAAATCCTTATAACGACAGAAGAACAGAAAACATGCCTTATATTATACAAAGTTACACTGCAGATAATTCTAAACCAGAGGAATCTCAAAATCATCCACAATATCAAAATGCTGAACAAAATAAAGCAGAAAAATCACAAACTTACAATCAACTACAAGGAAATCTGAAAGACAAACAGCAATTTACTTATACTGTACCAATCCAGACTACACAATGGGGTAGTCTCTACGCTTCTTCATATAAATACATAAATATAAAACCTCACCAAGCTAAAAACAATCAAATATATAATAAATATTTAACAACCAATCAAAATATATACTACGGACCTCCGCCATTACAAACATATAATAATTATTGGGAAAATTACAAAAGAGGAGTTACAAATAGGTTTGAAAGACAACCGAAAGTAGCCAATCTAAGGATAGAATATGGATTTAAACCTCCGCTAATTCCTAGTATTGAAGTAGATTTAGATGGAAGACCGATAAATAGAGACTGAGAAATAAATTTGAAATTCTATTATTTATATTGTAAAAGTTATTTTGTAAAATTTGTACAAATTGTAAACATTGTAATGTTGTCTATTGTAAACTTGTTGATTGTAAACTTGATATGTTAAGATTGTTTAAATACTTTAAATTAGCTTTAAAATGTTTGTTAATATTCTATAGTCATATATTTTACAATAATTTATACTAGTTATATTTTAAAAATTAAGTATTGACTTATCTCCTACCAAATTACGAAAATATATGACGATTTGACCCAACTTACCTCTATCCAAAGTTGCTACGTGTCGCCACTAGAGGGCTTTAAAGTGTGCTAATTATTTTACAAATATTGAAATATCTCTAAAACCTCTTTAACAGATTTTATCCATTTTTTTTGCAAACAGGCGGTTGCAAAAATATGATAAACAATATTTTGTTGTTCGAGTTTTCGAGTTCTCTGATGATTTGATGACAAAGGTTTGTTCCACAAAAAGGTGTAGTTTAACAAAAACCATAGTTTCAATATGCATAAAATTTACATTTTAGATATTTGAATAAAAGTAAAATAATTAGCAAACTTTGCCCTCTAGCGGCCAAACGATGCAACTTTTGATATAGGAAAGTTAGGTCAAATCGTCATAATTTCGACCAAGGAATCTGTGGTGGTACATTACACATCTTTCCCGGACACCCTTATATTTGATCGTGAAACTCACTAAACCGAATAATGTCGTCCTTCTTTCTCATTCTAAACATGAGGTAACGATATGTTTTTGTATTTCAGCTCGTATTTCATAAGCTAGTAAACTAATTATGACTGAATTTTGTGTTATTTGTTGACTTTAACTGTTTTCTTATTAATTTAATTGAATAAATCATTTTATAATTTTACAGACAATTTATTTCAAATCCTCATTCCTTTTTCCTCATAAAAATTAAATCTAACTACTTACTTTAAAAAACTCAGAATGAAGAAGACCATAAAAACCCTTATCATGTTACGCAATGTAACCATCTGCAAGAGAAGTGTTGCCACTATTCTTGTCACAAATTCAAAAAGCCAATACAAGTGTATCCATTGGTTTTTCTGCAATATAGACTCCATGAAAGATATTTAAGAAATGTTTAGACTAGACATAAGGAACAAAATTTTTTACCGGTACTTTCTCTGTACGGTAATATCTCAATGTCAAATTTGACACGCCGAGACGCTTCTCAGTTGTTTGAATTATTTGTTTGTTAGTGATTTTGACTATCGGACACAAATTAGCGCTAGTGAGGTTATGAAAAATGTCTAAGTAAAGTGTGTACTATGCTTCCTCTATATGTTTTAGAATATTTTTGATCTACGTGGACCAGAAGTTAGTTGGGTATTGGGTATTTCGAAAGTAAAGATTTTTATGCATAGTGGTAACCGTATTTACGGTACCTTCGAGCATTTGCTCGAAGGTGCCCTCTTTGAAATGACAAAAATATTCTAAGACCCATATAGCCCTATTCCCATACATTTTAGCACATCGGAAATGAATGCGACAAAACATAGCTGTGGAAAACATAGTTTAATTGTGTGTAGGATCAGGTTTAAAGGAGAAATAAAACAGTAAATTCGGAATTAAAAATAAAATTTATTTCCAGTTGAATATCTCACAAAACGCCGCACCTCGCGTCAACCTCACAGGCAACGGTCAACACTAAAATGAATAATAAACAAAGCTCATACATATAAATATATTTATATATATTTAACTACAGTACGATAACATTACGCGCCCGGCGCGGCGACTTCAACTGTCACGTTGACATTTATGGCATCTGACAGCTGTCAAAGTTCAACAGATTAAAAATAGTTCATAGATAATTGTAGAAAATGAATTTTTCGATTGCATTCGTCGCCGCGCCGCGCAGAGAGGGTAGATTTTGATTTCTTGTAAAAGTGTAACACTACTCTTAATTACATTATAGAAAACAGACGCGATCGCCGCACGACAAACACACATACATACTAAATTTATATATTTTATAACTACAAGTTTGCGGAGCTCACACAAAGGATAGAAAGCGTCACACGAAATCAAGAAGGAAAATAAACGCCTGTTAAAATCAAAGGCTGACCGAGAACTAAAAAACATTCGAAAAGTGTACAACCAATAATGAACGTTATTGCTATACTACAAAGTCCATAATACTTTGATCACAATTACACTTATACTAAAAATTTCTCAATGTGTACCCTATAATGCATTTAAAGCCTGACTCAATCATTTACTGCTCACTTAGTGTTTCCCCATTCTTAACCTCCGCTAAGGGTTTCCGTGACCATTAAATGACTGAATACGGCAGTTAGAGTGTTAAACCCATAACTGTGAGAGAACAATATTTTTTGACACTTTCTAATTCAGCCTTATAATTAGAAAGAGACAACCAGACCTCTGACACACAATTCATTGCAACAATCACACACAATTTGATAGTATTACGTTTGACTTAACAGTACCATTTCAATAAAAAACATAGATATATAATCTATAGATAGTGACAGTTTGACATTTAATCGAGAATCCATTTTAAAATTGCCATTTGAAAAGGCATCCGCAAGCATTTTTCGCCTCACTTTTATGCTCCGAATTATATGTTTATAGATTATATATCTACAGTTTCTAAATAAATTTGACCAATTATTTCTGCACTATTTGCAAAAGGTATTTCAATAAAATTGTATTAAATATTTCGTTGATTAACATTAAAATTACCACATAACGTGATTACTATCAAATTGTTTATGGCAACACTAGCGGCGATGTACCAACATAATGCATATACACATTATAGCAATAAACAATTATTCTGTATTTATATTTGTCATTAGAGCTGGGAAAAATTAACACTAAGCTAAACTTGAGCGTAAACTCATTTTGTACATTGTTATACGTAACGTGTCGTACGTTAAGATGTAATGGAAACGAAGCGATAGCACGGTAGACGCGGTGTTGCCAACTTCAATTCAACCTCCTTTTCCACTGCGATTTACCAATGGAATTACGTTTTCAAGCATTTATAACACTGGCAACACCAAACGCTCTACAATAGAATTAAAATTACTAAAACCGTTAACCACGGTATATTTTATAAAACTAGTCGTGTTGAGAGCGTTCAATAATTTAAATTTTCAAGATAAGCAAAAAAATTTGATGTTTCACCTCCGGTTGGCACATTCCCAAACGCTCAAGACTTAATTATTAACAAAAAAAATGATTTTATATTATAAAAAAAACTTCCCCACCAACCAGTCGGGAGATTTTAGTAGCCTGACAACACTATTGACCTTGCGAAAACGTATTTACAATATAACTAAGAATTGTAAATTATTAAATAATACAAGATATCCTATATTGTGATTGAAAGCCCGCGAAAATCCACCGTCTTTTTCGCTGTTTATTCCCGCCTTAAGTTTGAGGTTATGAAATTGTGGAATTCATTAAATGTCGAAAAACAGATTAAAACAGTATTTTTTACAGCAAAGGCTGTTTATATACCTAAAATGGACTGCAGTGGACGATATTTATTTTCTATTTGTTAAAAAAAAAATTGTTTTAAAAATGAAATATTCGGATACAGCCTTTGCCGTAATGACATTAAAAAATTAAAATCATAATTTTACGGTAAACAAATCTATAATAAATAGTAAAATTCATTTTAATTGTACAAAAACTGTGAATGGATTAAATTTAAATTATTCATATATAAAAATTACCGGACATTAAAATCATTAAAATTTAAAAAAAATAATAATTATAAATTACAATAATTTTCAATTATTTCAAAGAAACATAAATGTGCACAATTTTAAAAAATCAAAACAATTTTTTGACACTGAATACTTGAATTTTGTAATTCCAAAACATTATTTTCAATTCACAATTTTTTATTTGAAACATGTTTACAGATTGCTAATTTTTTCAATAAAAAATATCAACTTCTATGTAATTCATCTAACAAAAGGTTAATTCAAAACCGTATTTCGCATCTATATGTTAAACTTAATGTCACTTAACATATGAACTTGAAAGTTGACGAATTTTAAGACAACTTACAAACATGTTTCTAACAAAATATTCCAAAACATAAATTACAGTACATTTTAAAAGGTACAAATTGATTTCGTTTAAAATGAGGATATTTGTTATTACACCCCTGACGTGTGTGTAATTAAAAGTGGAAGAGATCTGGGGGCGGTATGGGGTGTTGTGGGAGGCAGTCGCAGGGGGCGTGTCGCAGCGAG